AACAAACTCTTTCTCACAATGATGGAATGCAACAATGTATTCAACTTACCCAATTATATGTATGTAATCTTCACAACATTCATGCAAGTTCATTCAAAAATAAAAATGTAATCAAAACAAAAATATAATGTTCAAAGTAAAGTTGGTCTAATGTTCAAAAATTTTTTTTGAGCGTTTTCATGTCCGTCATCAGGGAGGGAAGTCCAATTAATGTCGGCTTGTCTCCAAATCCTAAAATCTTTGTCACCTGTCAGCTTGTCTCGAATCCGAACATGGTGTTCGTTTGTCAGCTTGTCACAAATCCGATTATTTTTTTTCGTTTCAATTCTCTTCCTGTAATGTGGATGCCTGTTGTTTTGTTTTACTTCTCATGGTTTTCTTGTTAGTTAGTTGCGGTATTTGAGAAAAATTTTAATTCAGTTCCAAGAGTCATGTTATTCAGAAAGGGCAAACAATCTGCTAGCCGCAATTCGGGTAAGCTGTGACAAATACTTTGAAGATTGGACATAGGATTGAGATATAATTCTCTTTGTAGCACCGCTATCAAATAAAGTCAAAACATTTTGCCATCAGGTAATGCGGAGCATTCAAGTTGGAGGAATTAAACCATACCGGAGACGAAATGAATGAATAAAGATGAGTCAGATTTAAAGAGTCAAATTTACACGTTACAATTTTCTGTTAAGGGGCGGCTGCTCCCATCGTATACGCAATGGTTCTTTGATTTTTCGTTGATAAACAATATTAGCAGAACATATTTTTTGAGACAACCCTCGTTACAAGCATCTTTACATTTAGGTGAATTATTTGAATGCTTAAATAATGTGCATTTTTTCACATATATTTAAGCATAATATTTTCCGTTATTGGGACACTCTCGAGACCAAAATAAAGTCTCCTTAATTATGGGGGAGGGGTGTCCCCTGAATTCATGGGACACTAACCAACAACGTGAAATTGTCCCTATTTAGGGGTTTTTGGCATGTCGTCGTACAATGATGACATAAGCCCTATATCATTTTTAATTTCATTTTAATTAGCCTAAGAATGATTACAATTGAATAAAAATAATTAGCATTGCAAAAACAATTCATTTAGGACATGTAATCAACAGAAATGTAATTAAAACAACAAAGATTGCATATCTTCCCTATGTTGTTTCATATTTCAAGTGCGATGTTAATGATCAAATAATTATTCTGTTTTATTATTTTTTTTTTAATATTGAGCTTTCTATTGTATAGGCCTACACAAAATAGAATAGCATGTATAGTAACTGCTTAGAAATCAGGGGCCAGGATGTACGGTATAGATTAGAATCCTAGATTCCAATATGAAAAGACACTAAACAAGAAATATTGTTAATGGTCAAAACTGACAAGATTTAATTTAGAAAGTGTCCCCGTCCCTTTAGTATGGGTGTCTCTTTAAAATGGTTTGGCTGTAGTGCAAAATGATGTACGGTATTTCACTTAGGATGCGTTCGGGCGAGTTTTTTTTTGGTGTTGAACACGGAGTAAAAGCGGTAACAGCAATTTCTAGTTTTCGCCCGAACGGGTGTTAATCGCGGACCGCCTGCTGATATTCGCCGATAACCCAACGCTGCAAATTGCAGTGTTCTGGAGGATTAAAACTGGCCTATCTGCGCATGCGTTAGCAGCAGGGAGCATTTAATCCTATTTAATCCTTTTTTGATTGCTCTTTAATTGTTTCGGCACGCGCCAGAGCTAAAGTTTGTTTACATTTTAATTCTCCCGATTCTTTTTACAGTTATTTTCCAAAAACAAAACTGAAAAGCTCGATAAAATAATATTTTCAACGGAGGGCTAGCCTAGAATCCAGATTGTTAATTACTCGCGTTCGCTTGTATACCGATCATCATCATGGGCCACTGCTTATTTGTTTGACAATGGTAGTAATTGTCTGTTTTTATAAACAATCTAATCATCAGGGCTGCCATTTCCAGGCCGTCTTGTTGTGGTTGTTCTTGTAAGAACAATCGCGCCTGGATACCTAGCAACGTTGTGACAACTGCCGTTTAGTTGGTAAAAATTCACCATTTTGAAATGGCAGTCGAAAATATGTCAAGTATTATTATTAATTACTGTATTATAAATTACGTTCGGGAGAATCGGAAAATGGATCGCGCTTTTTTTTTTTTTGAGAGAGAGAGAGAGAGAGGCTAGAGGGCCGAGCGAGGAGGTATAAAAGGGGATTATGGGATAGAAACTGGCATTTACATATTGACCCTAGGTTGTACATCCGAGGTTAATGGTTTTTCGAAAGCGGTGTTGTGTTGTAGTTGTGCCCAAACGGGTAGACCACCCGCGGATACGTTTACCGGTAAGAAACTAGTAAAGGTTTTCCGTTTTCGCCCGAACGCACCCTTAGTTTCACGGAAAATTGCCTCCTTAATAGGGGTCTCCCCCTAATAGGGATGTCCCTAAGCAGAAGTACTACTGTTTATGTATAAGGCATTACCGCAAATCTATTCAGAGGCTATCTCTTCACATGCTACATTTTGTATATATAATTATACAAATTTGATAATTGTTACATTCTGGTCATTTCGATCACACTGATATCCACTTTTTTTATAAGATTTATTTGAGTCTATATATCCTCCATATATCATACAGTAATTATTATCATATAGTATTATTAATTTTTACTATTATTGTTATTATTATTATTATTATTATTATTATTATTATTATTATTAAATTTTACTTCGCTATGTTGGTTTCCTACCTAACACCGGGTTTCCTCTGGAGCTTTTATTGCAAATCAAAAATTAACAGACTCACCGAAAGCATAAACAAAGTGAAACGCCATTCTACTGTAGATGTTTTTTCGATCTACAAATGAACTGAAGCACACTTTGCCTTGTTAACACTACATGTATCCGCCATGCATAATCTGTACTGGACGTTTTTACTGCTAACAGTGCCCCTGGTAACAGGTAATATATTATATTTATTTATATTATATATTATATTTATATTATTATATTTATTATATTTATGTTTTATTTTTTTACAATTTTATTTATTTATTTCATTTATTTATATATTATATTATATTATATTTATTTATGATATCAGTTTTTTGATGTAATTTTTTTAAATAAATGGGCTTTTTGCAAAACTTTTGGTGTTTATGGCTAATTATAATTCGATTATTTTCTTTTATTAATTGATGCTTTATTGAGATTATAATTATTAAATAATTTTTATGTAAGTTTTTATAAATGGGCATTTTGCAATAATTTTGGTTGTTCTATGATTTTTTTTTCTCTTGATGTACATTTTTGATGTTCTCTTATTGACCCCTTATTGATTTTCATTTTAAATTAGTAATTTAGTAAAGTGCAATTTAGATTTTATATTATTTGATGTTGAATATTGATCTTATTTTATTCCTATTTAAATCATGTTATTAAGATTTCGTAATGTAAATTTTTAATGATTTTTCCCCTAAATGTTGTTGTTTGTCTTGTTTTTTTTGTGTTTTTTTTTCTTCTTTTATATGTCCTGTATTTTGAAAGCTTTTTTCTTGTACTGTAAATTGTTTCATCCAATCACTATATGAATTTGAATTTGTACTTAGTATTATTAATTATTTGAGTTGCAGGCCTATATGATTTTAAATGCAGAAAACTAGAGCACAGAAGAAGCGACACTGATGCGTTGGTAGTATATTTCTGGCGCTCCTGAAAATACACTTAGATGAGTTTTGGGCCCTCAAGTCTCCTCCCCTCCCATCAAAAATATTCGAAACAAAAACACATAATGCTCAGGTAGATAAAAAAATCCCCTCATATTACATTATTTTGCAGGCTAGCTCCCCCTCACTCAATCATCGAGCTCCCCAACCTTACCTTCGCCTCGTCCTAGAGACGCCTCGTCCTTTCACCGAAAAATACTGGTAGACCTATTATGTGTAACAAAATTATAGCTGGCAAAACTGGCGTGACTCTGACATATACTGTTTCTTTCATAGTAGACAGTGTTACCGTTATAAAAAACAATGAAAGTATCATAGCAGAAGCCATTATACAAAACCTTGGACTGTCAACAAGTCGACCCGTACTCGACCCGAATACAGTAACCAATGTAACGCTAGAATTTATGTTAATTCGAATTATAGAGCTGGTAAGTTTTGTAAAATCAATACGTCTAATACAATTCCTGTCTCTTATACACATCTAGATGTGTATAAGAGACAGAAATAATATTTTCAACGGAGAGAATGGTGTGCAATTAAAAAAAAATAATAATAAAAAAGAACTGGAGGGCGGTTCGATTACTTCCGTGCATAGTATAAACAAAGAAAATACCCCAAATTTGTTTTGGTGTGATGTCATGTTAGTATGGTGCACGTTTAAAAGCCTTAATCAACCAAAAGTGACTATAATCAACTTAGACCAGACTATTTGTCTAAACGAAAAGTTTTGTGTTGGAAAGTAGTAAATTATAAGCACTGGGTTAAGGGCGGTGTTCAACTTGTAAATAACCTCATTGATGGACATTCCCTACATATTGAAGAACTCAGAAATAAGCACAACATTGATACTAATTTGATTAAGTATTATGGTCTAATAGAAGCATTAAAGGAATCTACCAAACCTAGATCGTTCAGTTACAAACAAGAATATCCAGTCTCCCCGGCAAATTTTGAAATTATTATAAAAGTCAAAAAAGCTTCTAGGAGAATATATGATGTTTTTGTGCCAATTTCACTTAATAAGGAAACCTACGAATAAAAATGGGAAGTAGACCTTGGCAAAACATTAAAAAATTCTATTTGGAAAAAATGTCTCTTTAACGACATTTGACTCAACCAAAGATACTAAATTAAGATGGTTACTATACTGAATTATAATAGGATCCTGGGAAAAACTCCTTTTTGTTTAATACTGGAAGGGTTGATAGTAAACTCTGTACATTGTGTCATAATGAAAAAGAAATATTATATATATTTTTGTTAAATATGGTATTATTTCGAGGTTCTGGAAAGAATTTTATCTTGGATTAAAACTCGTATTAAACTATCATTATTCAAGATATTGAACTTTATCTGTTTGGAATAAGAAATAAGACAATAAATACACTTTCAATTTTTTGTCGTTTACAAATCTACAGAAGGAAAATGCAGAAAAAATGCCATATATTCATTAATTTAAAAATGGGGTTTAAAAAAATATACAAAGTAACGTAATTTGCACTTGTAAATAACGATATGGAAAAATTTGATTAATAGGGGGAATATACTAAAAGGTATATTTGACAATTGAATATTAGAACCCCAGACCATTTTCCTTGACAAAGGTTTTACTAGTTTCAGAGTTTTTTAATACAAAAACTGGTATAAATATTCATAAAATATGATGTCAAAATCTAAAAAAAAAAAATGTGTATTGTTGAATAAAAAAAAAATGTACATAACATTATTAACAATGCTATTATTAAGGTTATTAAGTAATATTTGATATGGTATATTATGATGAAAAGTATGTTTACAACGGCTGTTATGTACATTATAGTGATGGTAAATAAAGGTGGTCTTGACACTAAAATGACTCAAAAATAGACACTGTACTTGGCATGCATATCAAATAAAATGACCGGAAATGAGCCTTAGCACATTCCATTTGAACGAAGAATTCCAATACGACAGCATAGAGTATCTGCGTAAGCTAAGTATACTAAAAAATAAGGGCAAAATGTTTGAACTCATGTTATTAATTTCAGAATGATGTTAACCAGGAACTGAAAATCGCAAGCTGGACCAATATGGTGAGATTTGCTGGTATACTTCATTATCTAAATATTAATACTATGCAACACACGTGTTTACCTTACGTGGTGACGTGTATAATGTTCGTGTCCTCGTTTTTAAAGTTCACAGTACTGTACCATAACATTATCAACAATGCTATTATTAAGGTTATTAAGCTATATTTGATATGGTATATTATGATGAAAAGTATGTTTACAACGGCTGTTATGTTCATTATGGTGATGGAAAATAAAGGTGGTCTTGACACTAAAATGACTCGAAAATAAACACTGTACTTGGCATGCATATCAAATAAAATGACCGGAAATGAGCCTTAGCACATTCCATTTGAACGAAGAATTCCAATACGACAGCATAGAGTATCTGCGTAAGCGAAGTATACTAAAAAATAAGGGCAAAATGTTTGAACTCATGTTATTAATTTCAGAATGATGTTAACCAGGAACTGAAAATCGCAAGCTGGACCAATATGGTGAGATTTGCTGGTATACTTCATTATCTAAATATTAATACTATGCAACACACGTGTTTACTTTACGTGGTGACGTGTATAATGTTCGTGTCCTCGTTTTTAAAGTTCACAGTACTGTACTTTGAATGAATTTTTTCCCAACCATTTCCATATTTTGGTAATAGTATAATATGCTCGAGCTCATTGAAACTTTGATACGCAATTATGAAACCTCGTCTTTTTTCTTGGGCGGCAATCTCGGCCCTTTATTTTCGTAATTTGAGTGCTAACAGCCAAATTCGAATAAACGATATCCTATGCATAGTTCACAAAAGTTCAAACTAAATTTATTGTATGAACTTTGGAGTATGCTAATTGATCTATTATATCAATGTTAATTGATGCTACAAATGAAATTAAAGCAGTCAATCCAGTGAGTGCATATACGTTTGCCGTGTACAGGCGATTCAATTATTTTCATTACACTCTAAGGTAAGTTCAAAGGGAATGTCGTTTATCTTTTTTCCCCAAATATGATAGCAATATAATTAAGGCGGAACAATGATTGCTTGCTTGATGCTAGCCCTACACATCGCTGTGTATTTTTGAAAAAAAATTTCATTGTTAAAATCTCGTTGGTTACTGTTTGGAATATTAACTGAGCAGGAACATACTAGCATACACTGTTGCTGTAAATTTGAAAAGTTTTCCTATTGTGATTTTCAGTAATCACGCAATATTATGAATTGAGGAAAGACAAAGGTGTTGTCTCAGCTCTTTGTACTGAAAAAGAGATTTATACACTCTGCAGAAAATTCAAACTTCTGCTGCTAGACTCATGTTTTCTTGTAAGACACGCACTAATACTTTTCCTATTATTCTCGAACTTCATTGGTTGCCTGTTCAAGAAAGAATTCAACTTATTCACGCTCTGGCTTCTGGCCCTTTGTATATTTCCAATTACTTTACGTGTGCTTGTGCACTTAACGAGATCTTCCAACTCCAACTTGTTTGACAAATGTACCATAAACGTATTGGTGACAATTCATTTCCTTCAATTGCTTGCCAACCTTCGGAAGACCTGTCTAATTTTCTCAGGTCTTGTGATTCGCTTAGGCGGTTCAAAGCCCATCTAAAACAAACCTTTTTCAATAGTTCCTCTCACCTTGCTTAAGACTTTATTTGTTTATTATTTTATTTTCTTTGTTTAAGTTTTTTATATAACCTTTTTGCTTGGAGTTACTGCTTTATTGCCGGTGGCGGGAGATTATCAAGATTGCCACCTCGTTTCAACATGAAAACCGGTTTGTTATTAGATAGCTGCTGAAATAAAATCATTAACGAAAAAAAAAAAACTTCAGATACTCTGAACATGTCAGTGTAATAATGTTATTGAATATTTGTGTACCTTTGTTGTTAGTTCAGTCGTTTACACATGTATAGTTTTCGTATTTTATTGTCTGCATACTTTTTGTGTATTTTACATTCGCTTAGGTGCTTGTGCTTTTGTATTTTATATTGATTTGTTCACTTTAAATGTAATTAGTAGTTAAAATGTTTAGATAGCTAGTTATATTTACGTTTTCGCAAATAATACTCGAATACTCTCTGCTACGTTTCTATTTTTATAATATTGTGATATAAATAAATTAAGTTTTATTTGATTTATTATTTCTTCCATTGTTTATTGAAGATGACGCATTAATTTATTATTTTTCAATAACCTGTATGAAAGAAATGGCAAGACGAGCGTATTACCTGGAACGCATCTGAATATGGTGTTAATTGTGTGTATATTCCTGTAAATGAAATTTGGATACCCGATCTAACTCTGGAAAATAAGTGAGTGCTTGTATATTTTTTGACTTGATTTATCCATTATAAACCTAATATAAATGTCTCGACATGCAGTATATATAAATATCGAAATTATCATCATCCAGATTTTGTCTACTTCACTTTTTAATTTATACTTTTTACGCCATGTAGTTCCCCTAATTGTGTGAGCAAATTCAATAGAGACATGCATGAGAAACCAACTTCTAGATATAATAATAATTACAACACTTCTTTTCATATTCGAGTACTGTTTAGATACCATTTAAATTTCACTATAATCCACTAATATTAATTAATTTTGTGTTTCTACTTTACCTGTTAGCGTTGACGAAGAATATAACCAGTTCCAACCGAATACACCAGTTGAGGTATGTTCAGATGGTAGAGTGAACTACTCGACATATACTATATTTCGCAGTTCCTGTCATATTAGCATAGCGTTATTCCCATTCGATAACCAGACGTGTACCTTGCGATTTTCTTCATGGATCTACGATATCTTTCATCTAGACATTAATCCACATATACTTACTTCTGACCAAGGTTACCTATTCGAAGATTACGGAGTTTGGAGACTTTTAAGCATAGAGAAAAGGCGCAAAGTAAACGAATACAAGGAGAATATTCACCCGTTTGTATACGCTGTATTTACCATTTACATTAGGCGACGTTACAGGTTTTACTTTTTGTTTATTTTGATTCCATACTCCTTCTGTTCGGTTCTCATATGCTTGATGTTCTTCATTCCGTTCGAGAGTGGTGAGAAGCTATCGTACGGAATCACAGCTGTGCTGGGATTAATTGTTTTTCAAGAAATCATTGCAATGTCATTGCCGCCCGTTGGCAACGAATCCTCAGTTATTGGTAAGTAGGTATACGATAGGAAAAATTTATATATATATATATATATCTGTCTCTTATACACATCTAGATGTGTATAAGAGACAGTATGTAACACACCACATTAGAAAGTTTTGTTCATTTAACCACTTTGATCAGAGCATACCTGTAATGTAATTGGTTAAACCTTTGCAATTTGATTGGTTATTCTCTATTTAACTGGTACCTTTTAACTGTATGTAAGTGAATCCAATCGTATACATAATTTATTACTGATGATGAACTCATAAAGTTCAAATGTTGAATCACAATATCTTGTAATCACTTTTTCCTTTTGAGTTTGTTTCATATTAATATCAAACTTGAACTGCATGGTTTATTGTGGAAAAAAAAATTATATTTTTTTTCAGGAAAATTTTTCACATCTGTGATCGGCATTGGAATCATGTCATTGATTGTGGAAATAATCGTTTATAACATATATATGCAAGGGAATGCTTACAAGGCATGTGTGTATATAATGAACTGCTGTCGCACTAAAAAAGAAGTCCCGTTAAAAGAAACCAGGAGCAAACGTCATTCGGAACACACTCAAGAGCACCAAGAATACACAGAAGTAGCTGCCAAAACCAACTATTGCGAAATTTTTGAGTTTTGCTCTGGAATTTTATGTCTTGTTTCGTTAATTATATTAATGTTGTGGTTATTAGTTGTAATCTAAACAGAAATTCTTCGTCTTACTCTCCTGTAGAATGGAAAAGATTTGAAAAGCGTTTAGTGAAAAAGAGTCCTTTGCTAGAATCACACAATCCAACAACTACTTTATAATTATTGAATTTATAAGTTGAAAGTGACTTTCAAATGTTATGAAAATGACTTTTACACTAGAAAAAACAACATGTATGTCCAAATTATGTAAAACAAATATAATTATAAATTTATCATCCTTTTATAGTCGATTTATGAGGCCATTTACACATATTTATTAGCTCTATTCTGATAAAAATGTAGGAACTGATTGTTCTAATAGTAGGTAATATAACTTTGATTTCTCTCCTTTTTTGGAGCCACGCCCATATATATTTTAAATTCATAACATTTCTTCAAATATCCATTTCACAATAATTACACAACAGTATAATAATAAATAACTTTAAATTAAGCACTTATAAACCATATTCATATTGTAAGATACAAACATTTCAGTTTAAATAGTGGGACAAAATTAGAAATGATTTAGATTAGATTTTCGTTCTCTTCTTGACAACAGATATAGCCTTTTAAAATTGAATTATTTACAAACTAAAATATAAAACAATAAATTCAAATAAAAACATTTAATAAATCAGTATATACGAGCTTGCATCGAAAGTGTATTAGATTTAAATTTCAGAAACTTATATACATCAAATTTAGTTCACTTTATTAATTATAATTATAGTATATACATTTACATGTATTTATTAATAAAAATTCAATTTCTACTCATTATATAAAAACAAAGAGTTTTTCTTTTACGTTGCCCGATTTCTTTTCATCTTTATTTAAATTACATTTATGATTTGTAATTAAGTCCCTAAGTTCTAACTTAAATAAATTCTAGATATTTTTGGATTTTCGATTTTCACTTTTCTTTGCGGATTTAAGTAAGAAATATGATTTTTTAAATACAAAAGGTATGAGGAAAAAGTTTATTAACAGGCCTGTTTTGAGTTCCAGTAACTATGTACAATCAATTCAAACCATGCCTAAATATTCTTTCAGTAGAAATGCACTCAGTAATCACTGCATTGAATTTATACCACGCAGGTTGTATTGTTATGCACTTAACTAGAATTTGCTTTCATTTTCCATTTCTAAATGACATTTGTTACATAAATTGTTAGTTAGTAGATTCACATTTTTTAATCCTTTCTTACAGGCTAAAATAAAGTGTAATATCTTAAAATTAAATTAAGCTAGTTTTACCAAGTGCTGCTTAGAATATATTATCTTTAAAAAAAAAGTTTTTTTGCAATCGATATTTTCATTGATGAACGCTAATAGTAGCAAGTTCATTAACAAAGCGTGTATAATAATTAGGCCTATACTAGAGACTTTTAGCTCCTCAGCTGTTATTAATCTGTTATGCACTATAACACAATTTGCTTTGCATCCAGAATCTAACGAAGATTTGAAACGAATTGATTCACCACCTGAGGTTATGTATTTATGTTCCCATATTTGTTTTGTTTTAACCTAATAAATTGTATGTCAGTGGATCTAAACTGACAGTATTAATCACCACTGCATTTAACATTATTTTATAGAAATCGGGCAAAAATTTCAAATCAACAGGGTCTTCAGAAACTTAATTTACTAACACTTACTGTGTATTAAATTGTATACATATAACACTTCGGGATACATTTCCATTTAATGAGGCTATGCAATATAACTTAATAAATCAAAAAAAAAGAAAGTTATATTTTTTTTATATTCTTTACAAAAATATTGAATTTATTTGTTTATTTATTTAGAGGACTAAAATCGTTGAGAGCTATGCTACACAATGTATTATTATGTCCTTTATTCGAACACTGTATTTACTTTTCTTTGAAGATTTATATATAATTTAACAGTGTTAACGGCTTTCTTGATTTATATGCAATTATTATTTTTTTCTAGCCGTGCCTATTGTGTAATGGAGTGTATCTGGTGGTATTTGAATCTGTTCAACCTTGAAGCCTCCGTGGTCTAATGGTTATGACGCTCGCCTTAACAGCGAGATGTTGCAAGTTCGAGTCCCGCCAGAGACATCTTATTACACAATTACTTTATTCATTTATTTAGAGGAATACATTCGTTGAGAGCTAAGCTACACGATGTACTATCGTCCTTTATTTGAACACTGTATTTACCTTTCTTTAATGATTTATATATATATATATATATATATATATATATATCTTATAAAATCATACATATAGACCTATATATAATTATATATTAGGATTTTAGTTATATTATAAGAATTAATTAGGATTTCTTATATTTGTACAACATTTCCTATAGTATTTATCTATACGGTGTTTATTACTATTATTATTGATTAATATTATATTGATATTGAAATTAATTTACTTAATAAAATAAGTTATCAACATTATATTTTCGTTGAAATAAAACATGATATTAGTAGAAGATCAATTGTTCATTTTCGAGAATGCTTGCTAGGTGAAGATGTCTGGATGTGTTACTTGTCTGCCACCCCGTTCCAAGAAGAAATCAATGTCTATTTATCTGTGATGAAACCCGAAAATTCGAATAAAACTTGTTGGCTTATGAACTTAAATAGTACATGTCATCACGATCAGATTTTGCCAAGCGTCACAGAATACAGTACTAAATTTCTATGAATAATACTTGTTGACCTTTACTATTATCCACTATGTTGCGTCTGTATTCGACGTTTTTAATACTGACAGGATCGTTTATATCAGGTAATGCTTATTTATGTTTACCACAATTAGCAAGCGATATTATTCTTACTTTTACAGTGGTGTATTTGTATGTACATACACATACGCCTACGTAAATCTTAGGTAACCGGAAAAGAACATTCAAATTTTGACAGGGTTACGATACATTATTAGACAAATATACTTTCTAATCCACTTGTCCAAAGTAATGTTAAGTCAGTTACGATACACTTAAATTTCAGCGGATTATATAATACATCTTTTACACCAGTTAAAATATAGCAATCAGAGCTCAGTGGCGGATCTTGGAATTCAAAGCAGATGGGGGCCGAGGAAAATGGGGGCCGAGGAAAGGAAATTTCACAAATGGAGGGCCTAGACCACTCAAATCCACCATAGCTGGGGTTGCGGTAAGAAAATGTATGACTATGGCACCTATAGATGACCGGACATGACACCATCATACTTAAATTTGAATATAATTTTCTCTTGTCCCCATTAAAATAATAATAATTAATAATAATAATAATAGTAATAATAATAATAATAATAATAATAGTAATAATAATAATAATAGTAATAATAATAATAACAATAATAATAATACTAATAATAATAATAATAATAATAATAATAATAATTATTATTATTATTATTATAGACCAATATAATTAACTGCCTTGCCAATGAAATGCTTGGAAACCACAGTCAAACAAAAGCTATTATGTGAATGTAGCGATTCATTAGACGCTTATCAATTTGCATACAAGAGTAAGGTTGGGGTAACTGATATTCTTACTTTTCTTCATTCCATTTACTCTCACTAGAAAAGATGAGTTCATATTCAAGATCAATGTTCTTTGACTTGTCCTCTGCCTTCAATACTATTCAACCTCATTTATTACTTTAAAAACTATCCCCCCTTAGCATCAGTCCCCATATATCTCGTTGGATAGGAGAATGTTTAGTTAATAGGCAGCAATGTTAGGATTGGTGATGTGTTTTCAGACTTAATTATAACAAATACCGGTGTACCACAAGGCTGTGTGCTAAGCCCTGTTCTTTTTTCAATACAGTATATACAAATGACTTCTAGTGTCTCAATAATGATTCTTGTAAACTTATTCGCTATGCTGACGCTGTTATCACTGGACTTATACCGTATTATCAGAGTATGAGAATAATTATCGTAAAAAAGCAATTAATTATTGCTATTATTGCTTCAAACATGAAGGCCTTGGACAAAAATAAATAATTGACTATTAATGATTATTCTTATGCTCAGTGGTTTTTAACTGGTGCATGTATGCACTCGTTTTTTAATAGGAAGCGTTCGATTTGCACGACGACGCGGCTCTAAACGGTTCACTCCTGCTTGACTGCCTTACGTTTATGGTTAGCCATCGGGGCCATAATGAGAACGTGTTAATTTTGTTTTAACGGCGTTAAAACCTATTTTAACGGCGTTAAAGCTTATTTTAACGGCGTTAAAATGTTATTTTAACGCCGTTTTATTACTCTATTTTAACGGTGCTTTTTTGCTCTATTTTAACGGCGTTAAAACTTATTTTAACGCAGTTAAAACTCAATTTTAACGGCGCCTTTTTACTCCATTTTAACGGCGCTTTTTTGAAACTTTATAATAACGCCGTTAAAATTACAATTTTAATGGCGCTTTTTTTAATTATCGATTTAATGCAATTTAACGAAAGTTAACGCAATTTTGATATCGACTTCATTGATGCTATCCAAACAATGACGTGATTGCGATTACGTAATCGTTGAAATGGAACATGTTGGGTTGATGTTATTGGTGGTATCACGCGGATGCATAGGCCACACAGAGTCTGACTTCACTTTTGTTAGTGAATTGTCAATGAGCTATCCAGTCAGTATTGGCCTGGCATAAGTTCAACCACTGCTGATCATGGTTGCAACTCGCAATATTAACTTTTCTTTTTTTTAATTAATTATTAATAATGGAATAGTTCCAGGCCTGCTACTAAGAATCAATCAGGCGCCCCCCCTCCCCACCCTTTTTGGAAATTAAAAAAAAAAATAAAAAAAAAAAAAAAGAAAGGAAAAGGAAAAGAAAAAGTTGGTCGCCTAAAACGCCTTAGAGGTTATTTTAGGGCGTCTAGGCTAGTACTAGTAGGTAATGTTGTCTCAATCGGTCCCCCTTTCGGGCCCCCACCACCACTTTCAGACATCTGCCCCTGTCAATTTTAGTAGGCCTATTAAAGTGGTTAGGCCCGCCGAGACTATGAAAATGCTCGGCCTAATACTGCTAGCCTCTACGGTACGGCAGGCCTAAACCATGGACCTATTATTCTTAATAAGATCCATGCCTAAATTTTATAAAAATGCATAGAGACTCACTCATCTCTCAAGTTTAATTCTGCCGTATTCTTTTCCGGAACTCCTTCCAACAGATGATTTATGGTTCCATTTAGTCGCTGTTGCAGCGCTTGAAAATTTTCTGCATTCATTTTTAGCCTTGGGGTGGGTGTGAGGAATAAAAAATGGGGCAACCTAGGACTTTCAATCGTTCCTGCGCGCGTAATTGCGCTTTAATTCCTCATCTAAAGCCTGTTTTCGATTGTTAACTTGTGTTGAGTTTTAAAAATGCGCCGTTAAAATGATTTAAAAAAGCGCCGTTAAAATTGAGTTTTCACGGTGTTAAAATAAGTTTTAACGCCGTTAAAATAGAGCACAAAAGCGCCGTTAAAATAGAGTAAAAAACGCCGTTAAAATCTTATTTTAACGGCGTTAAAATAAGTTTTAGCGCGTTAAAATAAGATTTAACGCCGTTAAAACAAAATTAACGCGTTCTCATTATGGCCCCGATGGCTAACCATATACGTTCTCTACACAACGAGGAGAACCTGACGTTCGACGAAATATTAGTGACGTTATTACCTTACCTAGATTCTACCGCGTCGTGCAAACGAAAGCTCCCTAATATCAAACATTGGCTAAGAAAGCAAAGCTTAAGTAATTAATATAAAGATTAATATGAACATAAAACTTCCATTAAATTACTTTATCGATAACTTGAGAAGGTTTAGCAGGAGAACCTTTTCTACAATATACAGCCAAGCTATTTCTTATTATCCGTTTTTAGTTTAAAACGTTTTGATTTGTATTCCGATTCGTTTTTCAAGACAATACTGCAGTATTGTGGGTGAGGGTGTGTCAACGTAGCGCATACTATAATATAAGCTACCAAAGACGGTTTTGAGAAAGGCTTGTTTACTTTATTAAAATAATATAGCATTAGTATACAGCATCACTATACCATTATTGTGAACGTTACTCTAAACTTTCTTGTTTCTTTAATAGTGAACAGTGTTTCTAAAAACAATGAAACGCTTATAACTGAAATGCTTCTAAAAGCTCTTGGACCGTGGCCGACAAATCGACCTGTACTTGACCCGACTACAGTAGTCAATGTAAATCTGTCTTTTGTGTTAACTCAAATTATTGAGCTGGTAAGTTTCATGAAATTATGCATTACCGGTATATTACAGTATATTGTTAGATTAATAAAGTTCTCAAGTTTCAACTCAGCTAATAATTTACGCTCTAAATAACGTTACAACAACGTACCGATATTATGTGCAATTATTTTTTTTAATTTGAGAACGATAAATATGCATTTATAATGTAATTTCCAACCAAATAACCTTGCTAATGTTTGTGACATTTTGTGTTAGCGTTATTTATTTCTTTCTTACAATATTCTACTCACAGATCGTTAATGTTAGACAGTGCACCCTCCCATTCGTGACCCCTCTAATTCCAAAACCTGTCTAATTGGAGATCACTTTTTCGAAGAACCCAAAAGCAATCTTCAATCTTTTAATACAAAGATAACCCTCCAATTGGAGACCGAACTCCGAGATGGCCCCAAATTGTCAGGTCCTAAAGTTGGTCTCGAATTAGAGGATGAACTTGCTAGAACGGTAATATTTGCCAGGAAGTCATCGTTTGATATGGAGTGATTTTATTTGATTGCTTGACGACATTATTTTGATTTTGATTTTTATTATATTTCAAATATCTGTGACGATGGTGATGATGTCAGTTAGATA